ATTATTAATTAAAAATTTTAAAAATATAATATGATGTATAATTATAAAAACTACTTAATAATTTAACATAAAATCAAAATAGTTGATGGTTACATGAAAAAAGATTCAAAAGGTTAGCAAATGAGTTGACAAATTTTCAAAAATAAACTAAACAGGAGGCTTAGGTTGGATAAATTAAATAAAATATTAATAAGTAATTTTGTAATTGCATAATAAATTATGGTACTAAACAAACTTTAAAAGAAAATTTTTAACTTTATTATATATGTAATTATTTGGAATCTATTGTTATTTCTTACAATTTTTTTTTTAAAATAATCTAGAAAATTACTTAACAGACGTGTCTAAAAATATTATGTAATTAAAAACCACTCCAAGTGCGATTTCAAATGCATTCTTAATGACTTAATAGTAATAATATTAGAATTTTAACCCTAAAGAGACGTTATTTTATTTAATTAAAGACCATGGGAAGAGACTTTAAAAGTCAACGCTTCAATCTTGTCCTGTACTGGAGCTGGGAATTAGATTTATTTTGCGTACTGTCCTTCCAACCTAGCCAAACCACCCCCCCCCCACGTGACGCAATCCATTTTCTTTTTCTAAAATTCATATTAAAATAATTAAATATAGGGACCCTCTCACATTTTCTTTAATTTCTGCATTTGTCTTTTCTTAAAAAAAAAACATTCGAAAATGTGCAAAGTGAAAATATAAAATACGATATTTGTATTTAATTTAAAATTAATTAATAATAAATAAAATAATTTTAATTTATCTATAATTTATTTTATTTTATTTTTATCCCATACATCTTCTTCGCATACGGTCTTAGTATGAATTTCAAATTTTATCATGTAAATTCTAGATCGAAGAATTAAGAGAATTTGCTTACCTGTGAAATATTACTTAATTTTTCTCAAGGAAATATTACTTAATTTTTCTCAAGTTAACAAAATAATAAGATAATAACATAGTTTATAATACTATACAACTTTATAAATTTATAATTATAATGTGAATAAAGAAATTAATGTTAAAAAAATATCTGAATTAACTTAATTTAATTTTAAATTAATTGAGAGTTAATATTTCTTTAAGAATTGAAAGGTTTAGTATCAAAAAATATTATTAATTTTTTGTTTTATAATTTTATTTTTAATATTATATATATTTACTTATTTATTGAAAAATAATCATACTTGTAAACTTAGAATCCTAACTCTTGTAACTACATGATCGCCGGATATGTGATATCAATATTCAACACTCAGGAAAGCAAAAGCTTTTTTTTTTTTTTTTTTTTTTATCAAGAATGGGGAACACGGGGACTCATGCATGCAGTAGTACGTGGAATCCTGGGTTAGTTACGGAATTAGTTGGATAACAAACATATAAAAAATTGGTTTACTTGTATTATTTTATCATGGTATGGTAGTTTCTAAAACTTGGGTTTGAATCGAGTTGATTGCTTCTCTCTTTGTCTCCACATGCATCTTCCTCTTCTTCCGCTCTAAAAAATTCATATCATTCTGTGAGATACGGGTCTTCCTCTTCCCTTTAATCATTATCAAATTGTTTTTTTGCATGTGATGCGGCTTTCCCAAGCAACAACAGCTCATATCCATCATCATCGTCTTCATCGATTTAACATAGCTCTGTGTTAGTGCTCTGGTTACGCCATCCTTGTCCACTTAATTTCTTCGTTTCTTGCTGAATTTTCATGGGTAGAGGTTGTTTTCCCCAGGAGAGAGAGCTCAATATGCCTGCTTCTGAAGCGATCTGAAGTCGAGTAAGTTGGGTTTTTTTCATGTTCTGCTGTTATCATATGGGTTTCTGTTTGGTTGGAGAGAAAATTATGGAAAACGAATTCCCTAATTCTATCATGTATATTTGTTTTAATTAATGGAATTTTAATCTGAAGGTCGAGTAAGTTTCGTCTCTTTGTCGTCTGTCTTTTGTTATTCTGTTCTTGCAAATTTCCAATTGGGTTTCTGTTTGTCTCCGGAGAAAATGATGGAAAGAAATTCCTGATACTATCACGTGAAATTTTTTTTAGCCGAATACCATCCTGTGAAATTGTTTTGAAAGTGGTTTTAATCTGAAACCTGATAAGAAGAGTGTTTCACTGGGAGCTCTTTCCTGCTCTGTTGTTTGTTATTGCAGTCCGGGTCTATGTTTGGCTGTCGAGAAAATGATGGGAAAAAAGAAATTCACTGATGCCGTGTTATATGGGGTTTTAATTGAATTGGTCGTTGAAGTTAGGCTTTATATTTTCTTCTTGTTACGTCTAATAAATTTTACTAGGTAACCGAATAGAGTGGGTGGAAATAAAAAGTCAACAAATCACAGAACCTAACTCATCTGAAACTTTGCTTATTTTGACCAACAAATCCAGAATGCAGGACACTGATGTCAATCTGCTCGTAGAAACTCTACATATCCCATAGAAACAGTATTTTTCTCTCTGATTCATCTTTTTATCTGATTTCATGTAGATGGGACCAGATTTAAGGAGATGAAGTTCGTTCTTTAACTTCAAATTTTCTTGGGCAGTGTGGATCTTGTTTGGTTCTTGAGAAAATGGGCAAGAAAATGAACCTGCTCTTGATTTTATTCATGGTGGCAACTTTTTCATCCATTACTGCTGACCCAGTTGAAGATAAGAATGCATTGCTGGATTTCCTTCATAATATTCAACAATCTCGATCTCGACCCCTCAATTGGAATACCAAGATCCCTGTCTGCGGTAACTGGACCGGAGTGACGTGCAACATGGATCAGTCAAGAGTTGTGGTCCTCCGGTTGCCGGGAATGGGACTCAGGGGCTCTATTCCAGCCAACACTCTTAGCCGGCTATCATGGCTTCATATTTTGAGTCTTAGATCCAACAGCTTTTCAGGTTCGATTCCACCTGATTTCTCAGAACTCAGAAACTTAACTGCCCTTTACCTTCAAATCAACAAATTTTCCGGTGCATTGCCGGATTTTTCAGCCTGGAATAATCTCACAATTGTTGATCTTTCCAACAATGGCTTCAATGGAAGCATCCCTATTTCAGTTTCAAACCTGACTCACCTCGTAGCCTTGAATCTTTCCAACAATTCACTTTCCGGTAGCATTCCTGATCTGAACATGCCTAGTCTTCAACAGCTGAATTTAACCAACAATAATCTCACTGGGGTTGTACCAAGATCCCTTCAAAGATTCCCAAGTTCTTCATTTTCAGGTAACAATCTTTCACCGGAAACTGCCCTTCCTCCAACCCTTCCTAGCCAGGCACCTGAGGGGCAACCTCCAAGCAAAACCGGAAAAGTTAGTGAACCTGCCCTGCTGGGGATTGTACTAGGAGGCTGTGTACTTGGTTTTCTCATCGTTGCTCTTTTGATGATCCTCTGTTACTATAACAGAGAAGGGGAGCAAGGATTAGCCTCAAAATCTCAAAAGAAAGATGTCATGAAGAAAAAGGGTTCTGAGAGCCAAGATCAGAACAATAGGCTTGTGTTCTTTGAGGGCTGTAACCTTGCATTCGACTTGGAGGACTTGTTGAGAGCATCCGCGGAGGTGCTTGGGAAGGGAACATTTGGAGTAACGTACAAGGCGGCATTAGAGGATGCTTCCACGGTTGCAGTGAAGAGGTTGAAGGAGGTGAGCGTAGCTAAACGGGAGTTCGAGCAGCAGACGGAAGTGGTCGGCAGCATCAAGCATGAGAATGTGTCTGCTTTAAGGGCATACTTTTTTTCAAAAGATGAGAAGCTTGTTGTTCATGATTTCTATGACCAGGGAAGTGTGTCTGCAATGTTACATGGTATTGTTCCTATTCCTCATATATCTAATTACAATTTACAAGGATAATAAGTATTCACTCGTGTGTATATTTATGTGTCTTGAAATCATTTGTAGGTAAAAGAGAAGGCCGAGAGACTTTGGACTGGGAAACTAGGCTAAAAATAGCAGTGGGTGCAGCAAGAGGCATTGCCCACATTCACACCCAAAATGGTGAGAAGCTTGTACATGGAAACATAAAAGCTTCCAACATTTTCCTTAATTCTGGAGGATACGGCTGCGTATCAGATATTGGTTTGGCAACATTGATGAGTCCAGTGCCTCCAACTGCAATGCGTGCTGCAGGTTATCGTGCCCCAGAAGTAACAGATTCCAGGAAAACAACACAAATATCTGATGTCTACAGTTTTGGGGTGTTAGTACTTGAGCTCCTCACTGGGAAGTCCCCAACACATGTCGCAGGTGGTGATCAGGTTGTCCACCTGGTGAGGTGGGTGCACTCTGTGGTTAGGGAAGAGTGGACTGCAGAAGTGTTTGATGTGGAGCTTTTGAAGTTTCCCAACATTGAGGAGGAAATGGTGGAGATGTTGCAAATAGGGATGCGTTGTGTGGTGAAGATGCCAGACCAGAGACCAAAAATGCAGGACGTAGTCAGGATGCTGGAGGAGATTCGAGCAGGGTACACGGGGGACCAACCATCTTCTGAAACTTCAGCTTCAACACCAGTCCGACGCACAGCTGAAGTAGGATCGTCTTCTTCTGTTCGAGTTCCTTAATGAAACTCTTTTCTTGTTAGTTTCATAAAATTCAAATTATGTGATATATTTGGTACCAAAATTCAGTTTCTGTGCATTGGAATTCAATGGTGTTTGCTCATATACACTGAAATAAAAATAATTTCTTTATCTACTTTTGAATCTTGATCCTCCAAAGCTGCAAAACCTATCTTCTAGTCCTCTACATGCTACCATCATTATATTCAATTTAAAGCTAGGAGGAAATTCACAATGATGTGCATAATCGGCAACATCTTCAAACCTTAATCTAGTTAATTTTGAATCTTTTACACTGTTTTCTCCAATAAACGAATTACAAACCTTATATTCGACTGGTAAACCAATAAGCTACATGTTTCATGCCTTGAAGGTGACATCTCACAAGCAATGACACAATCACAGACTCTAACCTTTACATTTTCAAGACTAATCAAAGACTACTGATTCACACATCCTATATATATGTATTCATTGTATATGTTGCAACTCACTTCTTTATTATTCGTCATCTTAAGCAGTAGGAATTTCCTTTCTTATGAACCTTGTTTTAATGCCCCCTGAAATTCACGAAAGAGAAATGTGATTTAGCAACTCACAAAGACCGGTTAAATATTTGTGGGGAGGGAAAAATCAATGATGATGCAATAGTTACTATCACATAAATATGTCGCATACCTTCAACTTCCTCAAACTGAACCTCCTTAACTAGTTCAGCAGAAGCATGATATTCAAACCTGAAAAACATGTAAATAAAAAAAAAAGAAAAAAAGAAAAAAAGAAAAGATAATTAGATATCAGGATCACCATCACATTTTTAACATATCAGCTATATCTGCTGCAAATGACATCTTGAAGTGGAATTTTGGTTTCTACTTAACTCTAAGACCAGACAACTATATCCACAGAAATCAACACAACTGCTCCTCAGTTCATGCTCAGGCAGTGACATCCCACCCCCTTGAAGTTGAAGTTCGTATTTATTGCCATCTTTAAAAAAATTTTTAAAAGAAGAAAGAAAATAGAAAAGAAAAAGAAACAAAAACTTCCTCATAACCACAGAAAGCCAGGTATCTCTCTTCCTCTATAAGCCCCATTAGTACAACATTCGTGATTGGCTAAAAAAGGAAAAGGAAAAAGAAAAGAAAAAAAATAAAAGAACATACACCATTTTCACTTCTTACTCAGTTGAAAGCATATACAAATAATACAATGAACTATGTTATTATTTCTACAAGTTTCTTAGACCAATGAGCCAGTAAACGGCCTCGTTTATTCTCATGTGATTATAGAAACCAAATATATAATGTCTTCCCTAGTTTCAGCTTCTATGAAATAGGCTGATCCACATCAGTGGGTGCATGCCCTGATAATATGGTAAAAACTTTCATAATGAAAACAACAAAGGTTGACACCAATATGTCTACTTGTTAGTGAAAGTACATGAGCCATATTAGTAAAATGCACTAATTGCAAGAAGGATTAAGAAAATAATCAAAACAATGTAGAGGAACCTTGGATTTAATATGCAAAATATTGAACCATTTGAAACACAAAACCAGAGAAGCATGTGTGGAGGAGACTGATTGCAGATGTCCATGGGACTAGTTGGGTTAAAGCTCCAATACCCATCTTATCAAGGGAAAAAAAAAAAAACTACATTATAATAGACAAAGCACAAATAAAAAAAATAGACATCTCACCTATTTGAAAAAGTCACCTCAAGCGTATAATCAGATGTGCTCTTTGTGGCTTCAACTAATATGGTGACAATTTCAGTCTTTCGAGTACTAGCCATGAGTAGATCATACTCTGTAGGAATGATGATTGCAAAGAAGTTATCACTTAATTCACTTAAGCACATACTATCTACAGCTGCAAGGGCTATCCTGCGCTTAAGTGCGTCGGTCTCAGGATCAACAATGTAAATGGCAAAGTCAGTAATCATAAGAATTCGTCGTTTCATCTTCCCTGAACCAGTGATCTTCAAAATTTTATCAGCAAAGAGAACTTTCTTGTCACCTACAGAAGTAAGCAATCAAAGGTCAGTTACAGGATTTACTCAAGCAAAAATCCTACATCTGAGCGCTGACATAGTGACATTACCGGATCTACATACAATATCCAGAGCTAAATTTGGGAGGGTCAATAAATTAAAAAGAAAAAGAAAAATCAAAACTTGGTGAATTTCTACTTAAAGTCATCAAGCACATTTCAGTCTTAAAAGACAATATGGTCCAAACTCATCACAAAGAGGAAATTACTACACAATTCAAACTAAAACTCCAAACCATAGATGGATACAGCAATCAACACCAAAAGTTCAAAAGTTTTGATAGCTAAATCAGTGCAGACATCATTAAACAAAGAATCAATACGAAATCCTACCATTCTCGCATCCTCTATGCACCAAAAAGAAGAAAAAAAGCATCATTTTATTCATTGATACATAGATTCAGATTCTAGATCCACAATGAAAGCCAGTCACATTGATTAACAGCAATCGAATCCAAAATATGGATAATTTTAAGAAATTATTCCAGCATAAAAGGGGGAAATATCAATACTTGTTCCACAAATTCACATTAACAAGTCCATGCAATCAATGTCCAATGCTTTCATTTGATTCGAGTAAAATCCTTTCCATCCCTTTCATTTCTGTCAACCCCAACACTCTGTATCACCAAATTAACGTAACAAAAACCCAAAAGTTTAAAACAGCATTAAAGCTCCCCTATTCGAAGCTATGAGTCAAACTCTAACTATGATTATAATTTGAAGCTTTAAAATTTAAATTAATACAAACTAATAATTAGAATCAAAGCCATAATCAATGCTATCAAGAAACGCTAGCATTTCTAGCGCCGAATGCCAATGAAAAGGGATTTTATACAAGCCAACCTTGCTTTTGCAAAATCTTCATCAAGAATGGATGAGAAGGGACGTCTAGATAATCTCCTCGATAGTCTCGGTGAAGGGAGGCTTTCCGCCTGACTTTGACTCCCATGAACGGCTCCTGGTCTTCAGTGACATTGTTGTCCGACGGTCTCAATCGCATTCCGTTCTCCTGCTGACCGCCGTCTTCTACGCCGTCGTCGATTTGGACTCGCCGTTGTCGCCCGAATCGATCCATTTCTGATCGAGGCGAGTCTGAATCAGTAACTCGGCGTGGTCTGGAAATCGAAAAAGAAGTTGTTGGTTGAGCCAGCTCGTTCACCCAGGTGTGCCAGTTGCACACCATGTGCTTGATTTTTTTTTTCTTTATTAATAAAAAATCATTTAATTATATATTTCTATCAACAAACTAACTGCTTTACCCAAAAAAACAAGCTGTGCAATGCTAAATTTTCAATTTTACAATTAGGTTTACACCGTAATACATATACAAAAATTAAATTTTAATTTATTAATTATTTAATTAAATTTTATATAAATGTTTATTTTTATTTTTTAATATATATTTATAATAAAAAGTAATAAGTTAGAAAAATGCTTATAATTAAATAAAAAATCAATTTTAAGTAGTACTCGTCCTCAAAAATTAGTCATTCAACTTATTTGCATTTACAATAAATTTTAAATATAATAATAAAATAATTTAAAATTTCTTTTATACCTAGTAGTTATTATGTAGAATGCACTAGTTTAAAAATATTTTTTTAATTTTTTTAATAAACTCATAAATACTACTAATATCTTATTTTGGTGAATTAATTTTCAAAAAACTATTTGATTTGAGAAAAAAGAGTAGAAAGAGGAAAATAGAAGGATAATTCTTTATTTTATTTTATTTTTATAGTAAATTTGTTAGCATTTGAAAGTTATATTTATATAAAAGTTTCTTTTACTCTGATCAATATCTTTTATTAAAATATAATAAAGTGTACAAAATAAAATTTTCCAATTTTTTTAATCTAAATAACAAAATTTTTCCTATTTTCACTCCTCTTATTATTTTTTTAAAGCAAATGGACCTTACTTAATTAATTATGATAATTTTTAATTAATGCGCCCTAAGTGATGTTGACATTTTTCACTTAAAGAATATTAAATATCAATCTTCATTCTTTACCTTTCAAGTGCTAATTTTTAGTCCTTTTAGCTTTTTTTTTTTAATTTCCCAATTATTAAAAATATATTTTTATATTTTTTATTATTTTACTTTGTTTATTTAAATATATATTTTTAATTTTTT